AAACCAACTTTCAGTGCCAGCAGCCTTGCCAACAACTACACAGTTTCCAGGCTCTCTTCCCCCCCCCTCCCCCTTGGCAAAGCCCTTGAGAAGGTGATGGCATCCAAAACTCAAGCAAAATTTTTCTGCCAACATACTGGCTCCTTCATAATCAGGATGCAGATCAAAGCATGGCACAGAAGTGGTCCTGCTGGGAGACGAGGTTGCCTGCCTACCATCAGAGATGGAGGGAGGTGGGGAGAATCCAAAACTTTCATCTAATAGTCTCTGTGGCCTGTCAGACCAGTGGCCACATGGTGTTTAACATTCATGCATTCCTTCTTTGTATTTCCCTGTCTTAAGCAATAAATAATAAGGAAAGCCATGCCCCCACAAGGAAATTATGGTCTGGTATGTGCACAGTGTTGAGCCATGTTTTGTTTAGCTTAACCATGCTTTGTTCTACCTTGTGGGACCCAGCCCAATAGCTTAGCCATGCTTTGTTTATTTCCAGCTAACCATGATCATAAGCCACGGTTTGGTTTTGGCTTATGTAACTAGACTTGTTCTACAGATGGCTTGCCATTATGTGCAAACTCAGGGTGGTTTGTTAACTATCAGCTGTTTGCCTGCTCCACCTCACATGCTCACCAAACTACAGGCTCATGTTTTAAGTGTGGTACAAAAAAACTAAACTGATCTCAATATGAAGTGGCTCTTGCTGGTGCTTTTCCTGAAGAACTGGATTCTAGCCCTGCCTGGCAACAGGCTGCTATCCCAATTCCATCCCTCCCTTATAACCTTCCCCTCACGAGACAGCCAGCCATTGCTGAAATTTGTTTAGAGAAATTTAAAGTGACTGCAGTTGAGCACTCTCTCGTTTTTAAATGCCAGTAGGAATAGGAAAGCAGAATATTCGCAGCATATCCTGATTGTTCCGTGGTGGTGGACAAGAAGATGCTTGGAATGACCACGTGAAGCAGCCCAAGATCAAACAAGGACCGTGATGGGATGTAAATGCCAATGAAGAAAGACCCTCAGACACCTCTGCCCTCAACACCTATCAAAGGCCGTTGCTACACATCCAGGCAATAGCTGTTCCTCTTTTCTCAACAGGAGGACAACCAAGTCATGGTGGCAGCACTAGAACAATGTCAGCATCTTCTGCTGGACCAAGATGATCACACTATCAGAGAGGCTCCTCTTAAGGTCAAATACCTGCCCTACAACTAGCTGGCTCTTGAACCATTAGGATAGGAGCAGACCAGTGGGGGAGAGACCATCAGTACAGCTGATCTTACTCTCCAGTAGGGCCTTTGAAGAGCTTACAAGCTCCACCCTGCAGAAGCTTTGAATGAATTGGCATCCCTATTCTGGAGTGTATCCAATCTGGAGAACTCTCTCAAGGCAAGGTGTTTTCTCTCCTCCTAAGCACAACTCAAGATTTGTGCTTTCTCTTCCGGAACTTTGCAAATGCTCCTTACAAAAATTCTAACGGCTAATTTCTCACTCATTTTTTAAATGGCAAACCTGAACAGCCTGACAAAGTGGGAAAACAGGTTCCACCCTCAGCAGCAGCTGAGAACAATTTTTATCATTTTATGTCATTTTATGTAACTCATTACATTGTTATTCCACACCATTCCTTTCAATGCAATGTGGGCAATGCCCAGCTGAAGGTCTCCTCAAGACCCGGGCCCTGACTGGCCCATTTGAACCTGGCTTACTGGCAGGGAAGGTAATGCCCTGGTGGTCATGATGGCCGAGGGGAATTCCCCATCGGCCGGTGACCACACAGGTCTGGCTAGCGGTGGAGAGCGAGGGTCCGCAACAGATACCCCCCGGGGAAGCGGTGAGCATCCATTATGTACCATTTGCAGATGAAAACAACAGCAGTGAATACCAAAAATATGTGCTGGATTGGTTTTCGTCCCAGACCATCTTTAGAAATGCATCAACATACAAGTGAACAGATACAGCTTGTACATCTTTAAACTATAGTTCCTTCACCTCTTTGAGAGAATGTTGTTGCTTATTCTGATTAGTGAGTTCACAGCAACCAGACAGCTTTGGAAAGCTGAAGCAACATGAAAAGAGTTGCTTTTTCTTAAATAGTGTATAAAAAGCACAATATCATGAACATGACCAGAAAAATTGCCAACCCACTTCTCCCTCCATCATCTTTCCCAATCGCATCACCTAAACAGAAGCCCCTATTTCTTACTCACTATCTACCAACATCCAAAAACCATCAGTGTAACTCCAGCACCAAACAGGTAACTCCACCATTTCTCCATACCAGGGGTCAGCAAACTTTTTCAGCGGGGGGCCAGTCCACTGTCCCTCAGACCTTGTGGGGGCAGGACTATATATTTTTTTGGGGGGTGAACAAATTCCTATGCCCCACAAATAATGCAGAGATGCATTTTAAATAAAAGCACAAATTCTACTCATGTAAAAATATGCTGACTCCCAGACCATCTGCAGGCCGGATTTAAAGGTGATTGGGCCAGATCTGGCCCCCGGGCCTTAGTTTGCCTACCCATGCTCTATACCCAATCACTAAAATACTTGTGTCTAAGCTCCCACCGCCATCTTTCTCACACACCCAATCTCTGAAAGCTCATCACACATTTCTTAATTATACCATCTTCCACCAACAAGATTGGCACCAAACTCTCCTCCTGCCTTGTCCCATTTAAAAATCTAACTGCAACGGTTACTGCTTCAAGCCCTTAAGATGGCCTTCAGAAAAGCCCCAAAGTCTATCCAAGAGAGATGTTAAGCTCTCTGCCTTGCTTGCCATGCAAGGACCTCTCAGCATGCCAGCTCTGGAAGGCCAGGGATACACACATGAGATCTTGCGGGAACTCAAGACAGCCCCATGAGATCTCATGAGAGCACCCCAAAACCAGCACACTAAGAGGACCTTGCCTCCAAAGCTAAAGGCTTCTTTTCAAGATGGGTCCACTTTAGTTACCTGGCATGAAAAGAGCTGGAGGGTTAGGGATGGTCACACAGAAGTGGCTCCAAGGGGGTCACGCGCCATCCCCCAAACGTAAGCCCTACATAAGATGGGGCCATACTGTACAGTGGTACCTTGGTAGTCAAATGCCTTGGTTGCTGAACAAATCGGCTCCTGAACGTTGCAAAACCGGAAGTGAGTGTTCCAGTTTGCAAACTTTTTTTTGAAGCCGAACGTCTGACAGGTCTTCTGCAGTTTCCGATTTGCTGCAGGAAGCTCCTGCAGCCAATCAGAAGCCATGCCTTGGTTTTCGAACCATTTCAGGAGTCGAACAGACTCCCGGAATGGATTAAATTCGAGAACCAAGGTACAACTGTATAAGGTGAAACTGTTAGTCTCTAAGATGCCACAAGATGCTTTGGTTCTCTTTGTAGAACAAGATAAACATCAACAAGATTTTGCTTTGTTGCTTTAAGCCTTGCCTCTTCTGACTAGCCAAATACTTCCCTCTGTTTCTATAAGTTGATGAGGCATCTTGAGCAATAGCATTTATCTGTGTAACAGCTCCATAAGAGGAGGTCACATTTGCACACATGGGTACAGAAGGTAATTTCAATGTGTACACACAAGGTGGAAAAAATAGTAGAGAGCAACTTAAATTTGGCCAGTTTTGCAAGTTTTATTGTCTGAACCGTGGGCAGAAAGTGCACTGACCAAGAGACTCACACAAGCACGATTCTCTTTCCAATTTGTCGGAGTTCATAGTTCAGCTTTAAAAACCAAAAGGAAAGGAAAAGGAAAAATGCTCTGAAGCCTACAAATTGATTTTTTTGCACAAACCTATCGTTCTTGGTAGGTGGTTTATGTGAAATTAACTGAGTTCATTTCAAACTAAGTGCTATAGTTTGAAATGCCATTAAAACTTCTGCCTAACCACCCCACCCCCAGCAAAATAAAATAACAACATTCATTCAGTTCTGTGGTATGAGGGGGCAGAGGAACAAGCTCACTGTACTGCACATAAACACTAGGAATTAATGGGTTGCATGTAAATCTAGATTCAGAGAGCCACTGCCAGTAGTTCCATAGACTGCACTACACTAGACAAAACAAATGTCTGACCCCCTGTAAAAGTGTTGAATATGTTTACTTCACATGTTCAAAACAGCAGTTTTCAAATCTGCCATAATTGCATTTAAGAAGCAAAGCTATTTTGCCTAAAGAACACAGGAAGGCTGGTTCTGACCCCTTTATTCTTCTTGTTTGACTAGAAACTTTTATTTTAAGGGAGAAAGGAAAATATTAATTTCAGAGCTTTCGGATTACCTATTCTGCTCAACAAAAATTGAATGTGTGTAAATTTGGTTAATAATGGACAAAATAAGGTTGGAGGGTCCTGGTCACAAACGGGAAAATAGCAATCTGGAGTAGTCAACTAAATTACTGCACAAGTGGAACAACTTTCCCTTCCATAATGGGGCTTTCTCCCTCTCTGTGCCCTGTGCCATTCTCACATCTGCTACAGAGGGTATGGGGCAAACCTTTCTTTCCAGCCGGAACTCAGTTCCAGCACCACTCAGAGAATTAGGGAGGCATTCATGGCAAGTTCCAGCACCTCTTTTTCTAAAAAAAAAGCACTGGTTAGGGGAACACCTAAAACACATTTAGGGAGGGTGCAGTGGTGGTGCGAGAACAGTCCCTTGTGTGCAAGAATAAATCATTTCACTGATGGAACAAACATTCACCCTAAGTGTTACCTCATGTTTCATTCTCATATGGCAAACAAAAATGGCAGAATTTAATACAAGTTTTCCAAAACAACAAACCCCTTTTCCAATAGCAAACAAGCTTCCATGAACCAGAATCTCGATGAAACTATGACTGAGGCATATGCTGCTCCACAGGAACTCATTGAAACTGCAGCTTACCCTAATCACAACTGCACTTGCCAGAACAAAATAGGTTAGTGACCAATTATACACTCTTAACCATTAACAGTACGATCTTTGTTCTCAAACAATGTTCAATTGCAAAACGGCCTAGAACTCATTTTTACCTGGTGGATTCTTGGCAGGATCATTGTGGCTTGGACTTCCTGATTGTCCAGAATCTGAAAAGAAATTGAAGAAACATATCAGCAACTTGCTACTGATTTGTGCTGGGTTAGTTTTCTATGAACCAACACGATCTGTATGATTTGCATTTTAAAGGGCTCATTCACACCCCTTTCCGCAAACAGCAATCTGTTGGCATGCTCTGTGATAACTCTGCATAGTTAGCCACATATGCATTCTACAAATCTTTAAAACACTTACAATGGGTTGGGTTGGTTTTTTGGTGCAAATCTCATTAAAGAAAATATTCTTATTGAAAACTCCCCAAAAGAAAGAAAGAAAGAAAGAAAGAAAGAAAGAAAGAAAGAAAGGAGATCCCAGCAACTTTGTTGAAGCGAAGAAGAAAAGAAAGCACAGCATTTGATAGAGTTTAGAACTACTGTTCCACATTCCAGATATTTTCAGGCTGCAATCCTATACATGCTGGTCTTGAAGCTAGCACCATTGATCTAAATAAAAGTAACTTCCCAAGGAGATATGCATAGGATTGTGGTGTAAGAAACCAAATACTGGAACGAGAATTTTATTTATCACATTTATATCCCACCTTCCCTCTTTTATTTTTTTTTATTCTCACAACAACAACCCTGTGAGATAAGTGAAGCTGAGAGATAGTGACTTGCCCAAGGTCACCCAGTGAACTTCACTGCTGGATAGATATCTGAACTTGGATCTTCTCAGTCCATGTCTGGCTACATCACACTGGTTCAGTTCACACCTCATATTAAACCATACTTTGAAACGAGCCATGGTTTAAGAAGTGTGGTGGTGCACATTGCTCAAATGTTCTTACAGCACTCCTGACCCACTCCTGCCACACTGCAGAGAAACAAGCAAGAATCTGCTTTGTTGTGCCATTCAAACCCTGTCGACTGGTTTGTTTCCTCAAAACAAACCAAGCCTTAAGCCAAGAACAACCCATGGCTTATTTGGAGAAAACAAATCACAAGCCCAGGTTCTGGTGACCTGAGAAGTCAGGCCCTGGATTGTTTCGTCCCCAACATAGCAGGAGAGAGAAAGAAGCGCCAAAGGAGTTGCATACTTCTGGTTTCAAATAAACTATGGTTTGCATAAGAACTATGATTTAATGGGATATGAGCATCAGGCAACTGACTGTGGAGATGTTTCTGGAATGGCAAACACCATAATTGGAAAATGGATTTTGTCAGAACCATGGCAGGAAGAGAAATAATTCAACTTTTCTTACCCACCTCCCACCCCATGGCTCCAAGGCTGCCCAGTCTTCCCTTACACTGTTATTTACACAAGAAAAGCATGCATATTAATTGAATTCAGGAAAACATTGCATCTAGTTTGGGCCTATCTAGAGGCTTCAGGCCAAGTATGACCCCATCCGAGAAATACTTGTGACTGTGACAAAGGGACCTGTTGACAGTCTGAGAAAAGGACAGGACAATCTCTCACAGTTACCCTCCACTAAAATATGTTTCCGACTGATATCTAGAGACAGCCCAGTAACAGACTGACCTGCCCAAATTAAAATTTAAGGGCTTTAAATAAATAAATAAATAAAAGACAGGAATCCAGTATAATAAATCAACTATAGATTTCAAATTTCCAACTACTGTATCAGGCATGATGAAGACTGCATACTCACTACATACTAAATTTATAAAGTAGCCAAAAATATGCCAGTGCAACTCCCCTTCCACTGTATGAATTTAGAAATCAACAAACCAGTGAGCTTTCATCCAATTTTTTACTTTCTTTAAGCAATGAGTTAAACCACACTTCACCCAAGGTAGAAGGATGTTGCGGGGACCTGCTTAGTTATTAAAAGGAGGCAACTCAAATGCTAGGTAATTAAAAACACAAAGGAAATCTGTATTTAAGTTTGACCTAATTATAATGCAAAACTGAGAAAATTCTCAAAAGCTGCATTAAACATTACCTGCAGTCTCATCATGGGCAACACATTTAATGCCTTAATGTGGGATCAAGCCTCATGATACAGATTTACTATGGAAGGTGTCAAATTTTACAATCCAAGGATACAGGATTGCATGCATTCATTGCAAATTACCATACAAGGTTGGTTATTTTTTGCTAGTGCACCTGAAGTAATCATGCTACCAGATTATCTTGACCAATTTCAGTCTGAGTTCAGGTCTGGTTATGGGACTGAATCAGTCTTGGACATGGATGATCTTCATCAGGAGGAGGGCAGAAGGAGTGTTCTCAAAAGTGGCTTTTGATACAATTGAGAGGATGAATACTAAAGTTAGGAAGTCACTTTGGATCTTAATTCAGGGAGCAATGGGTGCTCATGATTATTTCAACTGCATTAGATTCCATCTGTTACCTTACTCAAAACACTTCTACACTTAAACATAACTACATATATAAGCTGAACCCAAATAATTCACATTTCATGTCAATTCTCTATACTAGTATAGTTAAAGCTATGGTTTTCCCAGTAGTGATGTATGGAAGCGAGAGCTGGACCATAAAGAAGGCTGATTGCCGAAGAATTGATGCTTTTGAATTATGGTGCTGGAGGAGACTTTTGAGAGTCCCATGAACTGCAAGAAGATCAAACCTATCCATTCTGAAGGAAATCAGCCCTGAGTGCTCACTGGAAGCACAGATCCTGAAACTGAGGCTCCAATACTTTGGCCACCTCATGAGAAGAGAAGACTCCCTGGTGGGACCCTGATGTTGGGACAAGGAGGGCACAAGGAGAAGGGGACGAGAGAGGACGAGATGGTTGGATAGTGTTCTCGAAGCTACTAACATGAGTTTGACCAAACTGCGGGAGGCAGTGGAAGACAGGAGTGCCTGTCATGCTCTGGTCCATGGGGTCATGAAGAGTCGGACATGACTAAACAACAACGAGTTCCAGCAAAAAGCCATGCTTAGGACTTATTTTATTCCGAGTATTTTTAATTTAAACAGTGTTGAGCTTTAGAGAAGGGATTCCAGATGTTCTCTCTCACACACATTTTTATCTCCCATCATAAACCCTCCTGCTGGAAGTCCATTTGGCAGAAGCCACCAAGCATCTAACCATGCTTGTGTCAAGTCACTGTGTTGCTGCCTAGCCTTTTCAGAGTTGCAACCTCAAAAGAGTAACCTGGATCTTATGCCATTCACTCAAAACCAAAGTGACCCTGGAGTTTTTTGTGTGTGTGTATTTGAAGCTCAATGGTTTTAAAACACTTCTGGTCACATCTCTTCTGCAGTTCCACCAACAGCTTCCACAGCAGAAGCTTATTCTCCTTATGCCATTTGCCAAGCTAGCCATTGTCAAAACTGTTCACTTTTCTACAGAGTGTTTTTAATTAAGTAAATAAAAGTGGCAATTAAACCAACATTATGTAATGTGTTTTTGATTTGTAATCTCATTTAAATTAATTAACTGACTCAGCCCTTGCTTAGTTTTTTAACTGCCCTACTTAAGGAGAAGCAGAGCAGTGGGAGTAAATTCAGTTTTCATATACATGAAAAGAAATTAATGGAACTACAAAAGCTTATTAGAATTCATACCCCACAAAGCAAACTTTTCAGTGTTGAGCGCCATTTATGGGGTTTGTTGAAGTGTTAATCCTTGCTTGTTAATTTTAAAATAGTGTCTGTGCTACATTGTGTTGCTGGGTTTTAATGGGATACATTTTGACTAAGATACGTTTTGGTTTTTTAAGATCATAATAATAGCCTGGTAGGAATGGTCCACTCAGTCCAGTAACCTGTTCTTACACTGGCAAGCAGAATCTAAGAACGATAACTCTTCCCTCATCATGGTTTCTTGCAACTGATAAAACTCTGAACTTAAGGAAATGTATACATTTTTCTTGGGTCTGAAATAAACTTCAAATCTCATGTAACATTAGACGATCTCTTCTCTGACATGGGGCTTAAGAAAAGATTTACACAGGTCTCCTGCTACATGTGAAAAGATATGAAAGAATAAAGTTTGTTTGCAAAACTTGCTAGAATCCGAAGGAAAATGGGTGATTGATGTTTAATCTTGCCCATCTGAGAAATATCACATAGTTTCTACTATGGCCTGATCTATGGCCTCTTGGAAAGTAAGCAATCTTTTCTATTCAAATTTGTGAAATGTTTTTTTAGAAAGGGAGACCTGGAATGCTATCGTACTGAAAGTTTTAATTAGGAGAGAGGAAGTAAATGGCTAGAAACTCAAAGAGCACATAAATTTATCAGATATAGAATCGAGAAATGGAGCTGAACCAACATAATGTCTGGAATTTAATTGCAAATAGCTCCATCAAAAACAAGTCCTTGCATATTGTTGGAAACAAGAATCTGGATTCAAAAGGGCACTTTCCCATACAAGAAGACCTCTTCACTCACAGAAGAACGGCACTACATCTTCTTATTTGGGCACTGGATCAGAAAAGCAAAATCTTATGCCCAAAACTTTCTCCCACTTGTGCATAAGAGCGAATTGCTATAGAACCACTACATCATTAGAGGGGTTACTGTTACTTGTGTTGGTTAAGCAATTACGCTTTAATTCTTTGAGCTAGATCCAAAGATCCATGAGTAGAAGATTCCAGGATCTAGTCTGGAGGCAAGTAAGGACACTGCCTTGCGGAAGCTAAGCAGGTCTAAGTCTGGTTAGTACCTGGGTGGGAATCATATGAATGCTGCCTTGGGTTCTATGATGACAGAAAGGAAGGGCATAAGTGGAACAAATAATGTTAATAGTTATGAATGAATAATGTAAAAATCAAATGCAGTAGTACCTTGGTTCTCAAATGCCTTGGTACTCAAACAACCTGGAACCCAAACACTGCAAACCCGGAAGTGTTCCAGTTTGCGAACTTTTTTTGGAAGCCAAACGCATTCCGTTTTGAATGCCACACTTCCATTTTGAGTGTTACACTGAGGTCTGTCTGCTTTTGCTATTTATTTTGCGTTTTTGTTTTTGTAACTCTTTTGTTTTTGCGACTGCGTGGAACCCAGTTCAGCTACTGGTTGATTGATTGATTGATTGATTGTTGCTTTCATT